GTTCGTTCGTTTGCTCGTTCGTTCGTTCGTTTGACGTCGTGGAGTAAAGAGAATGACAATGGAGGCATAAAAGTAAAGACGAGGGGAAGAAAGAGCAAAATAATAGGACGGGCAAGAAAATAATCTTATAGCCAATCGGGGTTTGAAATCTAGAGTGCAAAGGCACACATTGTTAGAGGAATGTGTGGGCAGGATCGTGTTCCTGAGCTTCAATTTGCAGCAGATCCCTAACATATCTGAGCGAGCACGCTACTACTTTCTCATGCTATGATGCGGACTTACTTTTTAAATGACAAATAGGCTGGATCAGAGAAGATTGAATGCTGCCAAATGGGATAGCAGGGGTGGAGTTCCATCATGAGCACCGAGTCTTGTATAAAAGTCTTCCTGAACATCATGATCACCTGTACAAATGCATTTTCAGCGATGGTAGGTTGAATAGGATCGCCATAACTGAGTTCTTTCGCCGCCAGTCGGTCATGTCATTCGTCGATCGCCGGGAACAACTTCTTGCAGAGGCTGTTAGTGGGTTAAGGACGGCACGTACAAGATAAAAGAACCTACCATTGGTGGGAAAGCCTGCCATTGATCGCATCGGTTTTCTTGGTAGGCTGGTGGGATATGCCCTCCATCGTTGTGATGTTCCATCGTCCTTGGCGTCGTACTTGATCCACGTTCGCACACACGTTACCCGCCATACGAGTTGATGAGCCGCAAATGATATGTGTCTTTTTGTTGGATCTGATACCAGGAGAAGATAGGGGCTTGCCGATCGATTCCCGATGAGAAGAGTAAGACCATTCCTGTGCCTGGCGGGGCGGTTTTATTTTCATTTCGAATTGAGTTCCCAGCTATACCCGGGACTCAAGTCAGGGACTCAGTGAGTCTCCCGCCATATCAGTCCTTATTGTTCGCAGATTCAGCATACACAGATTGGTTCTGTCCCAGTGGTTCTGTCTGTAGCATTCTCCAAATGGCGGGGTTTGAAAATCTAAAAATTTGAACTTTGAAAACTGATCGGTTTTGAACCCATTTTTTTAATACTTTTTTCTCAGGACCGGAATAGACAACCCACCGTCAAATTTCACAGGCACTTCAATACATTCCATATCTATCGACAGGTACCCAGTAACAAGCACATTTATGCCGTATGCGATCGTCAATGCTAAAAGAAAGCCCCCAAAAAGCGACTGGTTGGAGCGATATCAAAAACCGCAATTCATCCAAGAAAACCAAGCTTTCTTGTTATCAATCAATAGATAGAAAGCACATCTGTTAGCATGTTAAATTTGAAGGCAGGTTGTCCATTCCGTTCACAAGAAAAATAAAATCCAAGAAAAGTCGGACTTTTTCCAAGGGGACGGTCTGTCCTTTGAGCCCCTCCAGCTGTAACTTTAACTCTATTGGAACTACTCGACATGAATTATATTTCCCTTTATTCAATCATAATGCACATTGGAGATCGAGACTGAGTGGGACGGGACTTTTTCAGACTTCATTCACAAGGTCAAGTTTGATAGAGGGGACCAGTTCCTCTTTTTAACAGGCTCCCTTCTTTATCCCATCGCCGTTGGCATATGAGTTGTATCCATTAACGCACAATCCATCATCCAACCTGTAACGCACAACCCATCGTCCAACATTTGCGGACACACTGATTTTGTCACCTGGAGGGCACGATCCCTGCATTTATTGTATACCATAAAAATATGACTATGCTATAGTTTTGAGTAGTGGAAGGGTATTTAAATGACATTCTAATCTAGTGTAAGTGTAATAAGGCAAGTGCCAACCGAATGCGTGTGCCAATGGTGTGTAGTGGAAGGAGAATTGCTCCCCAACGTTGCGTTGTCTATGGGATCTACTATGGATAGGGCACCTAAAATAAAGTTTGCAAGGGAATGTTGTCATCAAATCGTCGTCGTATCGTAGTTTGGATATATGCTGTTAGTGTGGCCAACCGAGCGTAAAACAAAAGAGGAATGTTGCAAAGGGCCATGATGAGAGAAAAAGATGACCGAGACCATGAGTTGGAAAGAATTGCCTTGTGTCCGTTGTATTGCTAAAGGCGCTGATAAAGTCGAATGCGAGTTGGTGTCATGTCGATGAAAATGTTAAAGAAGAGCCAAGAGAATGCTAAAAGGGAAGAAGAAAGAATTAGAATCGAGGAGAAATTTTTCTGCTTTATGTGCCAGTCGGAGATTGAAAAGATCACTACGCAACCCTTCGTCTAAACGCATCAGGAGGCGAAAAGCTACTTCAACTGACGTTCGTTTAACAAATGACCCGGCCAATAGAAAGCGAAACATGGTATGTAGGGAGGGAGCGAACTTTTTCGTTTCGAGCGGCCCTTTAACAAATGTGCATGAATCAAAAAGGAGAGTGTCTCCTTGTACCTATTCACACTTTTCAGCCAATGGGCAGTCGTTCAAACAGCGCATAAAAGCAACACGATGGGCTTTTTCCTCCCAACTTGCAAGTACTTTCTTTTTGGCCATGGTAACCTCCCCTTCCATGGTAGAATACGACAATGTCGACATTGCGTTTCAATTCAAAGACGGCAGAAAGGTCGTCGCTGATACCGAGGTGGCCTATCTTTTACCAAGCGATTCGACCGAAGTCGAGCGTTTGCGCCTCAACCATAATCTTTGGAAGTAAGTAACTATGAATAACGTATGGGAAGGATTCATTAGAGAGGGGTTGTTTTTTTTTGGCTAGATTGATGCTCGGTGGGCTTTTTAAAAGTCCGCTTGCTGAATCGCTCGAAAAAGGCATCACGGTTCTGGACGTAGGTTGTGGCCCTGGTTTCTGGACAAGGGTAACTTTTCTTCGTAAAGCTGACAAACCTCAACACGCACTCACATAATGTGTTGTAGGATATGGCTTTGTTGTATCCAAAGTCCCAGTTCATCGGCATCGATATGGCAAACGTCTTCATCACAGCCGATCTTCCTTCAAACGTCCAGTTCCATATCGTCAATGCCGCCAAGGGTCTTCCTTTCGAGAATGCGTCGTTTGATTTCGTATTCCAGCGATTCTTGGTCATGGGATTCCCTACAGAAACCTACAAACACTCGGTCCAGGAAATCAAACGGGTCTTAAAACCTCAAGGAAAGATCGAAATCCTAGAGTTAGTGAACCATTATACCGATCCTTCGCCGGCCTTTTCCAAGATTTCCTCATGGAGTAAGTAGACAGACGGATGCATGAATATCATTTTCAAACTCCGCTTTTGTGCTAACGTGGACTAGTTGACCAAGCTCTCTCTGCAAGAGACATGGATTCCTATATTGGTGACAAAATTTCGTCTTTTCTACAAGAGGCTGGGTTCCATGGCATCAAAGACATCAATTACAGTGTTCCTATTGGTAAGTGAGCCCTCTGTCTCTTTCTCTCTGTCACTAGCCTGTTGACCCACCCCTTTCTTTTTTTCGCAGGATGGGGTGGCCAGGTGGGCGATCTTTATTTGGCCATTCAACGTTTGGCACTTCCTGCCGTGGGTGTTATGGTTTCACAACTAGCTTCAGTGACAAATGAGGAGTACAAACGAACATCCAAGGAAGCATTGACGGTGACCGATCAGTTTCACTCTTCTACTCGGTTTCGATTGATCTGCGCTACAAAATAGTCGATTAAATAGCGATAATAAACAGCATAGTGTCTTTTACTTTTGATTTTAAGAGATGAGTGCATTGGTCACACCCAAAAAAGGCAAGATGCTGCTCATACATATCAATAGGACGCAAGGGATTTCAACCCCAGATCGTAGCGCTATCTGGAAATGTAAGGGGGGGGGATGCGTCGTGATTGTGCCCAGGATATGGGTAAAGAGCTTTTAATACTGCTAATTAGGTAAAGGACATGGCAAAGGGAATCAGAAAGCTGGAGAGGACTTGGCGCACCGGGTGATTTAAAGCCCCTAACGAATTTTTAAGCTCCGATTTCGCTACAAAGAAGCCATTCTCCCTCAATCCTTTTTTTTGCTTCTCCTTTCCTTCTTGATCACTTTTTTCTTTCCATCGACATTGACACCACACCACTACCGACTCTCTCTCTTATAACGGCCTTGAACGACGAACTCACGGTATCTCTCACCCTCCCGCCATCTTGCCCATCTTTGTCTTGCCATGACTAACATTTGCCTTTTGCATCATTGGTAGATTCTGTAGCCATTACACTGCTACACATCACTACTCGTTTGCCTACTCACCTTTGTTCACTAACACTGACCACTTCTTGCACCGCCTCTCAGCTCTCCCCTCCTTCCTTATTTTGGTCATTACACTAGATTAGTCATTCCACGGCAAGTCCTGCATCTGTCTTCGCTATCTCCCGTTTGGAAATGTAGCTTAACCATAGTCCCATCCAGTTAATTAATAAAGCCTAACTAAAACCATCTATATGATTCCGCTCTTTTGCATAAGCCCTTGTCATCTTGGAAACTCTGATCCAGTGATTTTGTAAAACTGTCGGTTTTCGACTCCTTTTTTTTGTACCGAGTTGTCCTTTTTCTTGAAACCATGACAGATAACCCATCTTCAAATTTCGCTTAAAGCAAGATACACTCCATATCTATCGAACGATATCAGAAATGAGCCATTTATATATTCTATGCGACCGCAAACGCTGCACAAAGCCCTATAATAGCGACACTTTTCGAAGGGGGACGGTTACGCCCTTTTTTCTAAAATCGGAGTTTCAACACTTTCAACAACTTCTTTTCTTGTCTTTTGAGCAGGAGAATCCCAGGGACGCAAAGTGATTGTGCACATTCACTTGAAGGACAAAGTAATAGCGTCAAAACATGAGCTGCGTCGATCAATAGAGTCAAACCATGGCCACCAACATAGGGCAGTGGGTCCATGGCAAGGCTACTCAAGTGTATTGACAGTAAAAGAGATCCAAATGGCTGCATCACATCAAAAGAGTCAGTTTTTGCAGCAACGCAATGGCTCACACAATAGCTAAAAAAAAAGCAAGAGAGGAAGGGGCAAAAGTTTGGGACCAGCCGGGATTCGAACCCGGGATCTCGTTCACCCGAAAAACGCGTGTTACCGCTTCACCACTGATCCGCAAAATTTTTCAATTTTCAAAATGATGCGTTAAAAACCATAACGTCGGAGTTTAAACCTAAATATGGATATAACTCTCGAATCAGCCTACAAAACCAGTTGTAATGTGTATGAGCGGGTTTATCTTAGCATAAGCTACATGTGTGCTTTGACGGGAGTACTTTAACAGTGTTTTGGCAGCCATAATCAAGGAATAAAGACTCATGTCGTATCAACTCCGATTTCGGAGTTATGATTGTCCCCAGCGCCCACTCTTCGTTTCACTCGGACTTCCCTCCAAGCCCACTCTTGAAGACGCATTGTTATCATATAAAAGTATTTACTTTATGTATTCTGTAAAGGTTTGACTAAGCTATAGATTTGATTAGGGGAAGGCTATGTATATGGAAGACTAGTCTAGTGTAATGACCAACGGAATGAAGCTGGAGAGTTGATCAGCGGTGCCAAAAGTATCCATGTCAGTGGCCCAGAAATTGAGCGAAGAAGTAGTGTTCTTCGGAAGTGCATTGGCTAGAGAATGGACAATGGAAAAGTGAGTGCACCCCCCCCAAAAGCTAGAGTTTCCCCATTTTTTCCTAATCCCGTGCGTCGAATCCCTAATCGGACCACATGTCCATCCAGTCCTGTTGCCAGAGAGCCTATATCCTTTGTCATCCCATTAGATCTACTACGAAAAAAAGGAGTAAGGATGCAAAAAGGTAAGTGTCAGTCATGGAGAGAGAAAGATCCTGGAAGGAAAGACTTACCTTCCATTCAGTGCTAAGGGACGTTGGTTCATAGAGTGCTTCCGTCAGATAATGTGTTGTTCCGGTGGAATAAAAAGAAAGACGATGTAAAAGTTAAAAGCGGCGACGAAGGGAAGAAGGAGGAAAGAAATAGGTTTGGAAGAAATGCTCTTACTTATGCGCATGTCGGAGTTTAATTTAGCCATTTCTTCCCACCTTAACGCTTTGGTTGGGCTCCACCCACCCACATCCTAATCCACACATGTACTCGTCTTTCTAGTTCCCTAACATCACAGAAAGTCTTTGGTTAAACTAGCTTACAGCGGTGAAGATGAGCATTTTGCTTCATAATAGAAGCGCAAGTCTTTATTTGATCAGAATGAGAGGATATATGAATGTATAGTGTCAATATGATGATGATGAGAATGCTAGTATTGGGTGAAGTACGGTATTGAGGCATAAGGGTGTAAAAAGGACTTTTGTTTCTATTGCTATTCTAATCACTATCCAGCATTGGTGGCCCATTTGATGAGGTTGGTGGGACAGTCTTGATACTTCAGTACAGCTTCGATGATTTGCGCATGTTCCAGCATAAGTTTCGCCATTCGGTATTCTTTAGGACACTTTCCAATTTGATCCACAGGGCAAACCAGTTCGAATGATTGTAAACTTTCAAATGCCTAGATACAATCGCAGATGAGTCTCCCATCCAATGATTTAAGAGGGGGGTTATGTTACCTTGAGAGCTACAGGTCGTTTATATAGCTTCATCCCAAATCCCATTCCACGCACCTGAGTTTGCGTCATAAAGTCCTTGTACTCGTCGTATATCATCTGGAAGTTGAATACTTGTATGTCCCGTTCCATCAGCTTCTTCATACTAACAATCAGCACCAGCTCCAATAGCGAGATCCCTACCACAAAAAAAAAAAAAAA